TTAATTAGATTTTGACACGTATTAGGAAAATTCAATTAGATTTTGACACATATATCATACAAATCTTATTTCTTTTTAAACTTATATATTTGTATTTATCAAGTAGATTATACAAATACATATATCAAAATTTGCAATTAACCTCTAATTAATAATTTATTAAACTAATTAGTTGATAAACATGATTTATTCCTTTTAATTTTGTCTTTATTATATGTTAAATTTTGTTTTTTTTCGTAAAACCATTCTCTTTTTTTTTTTGCCTCCTTTCCCTTACGTGTTCACATTAGATGAAATAATATTTAAGATTTTCTCATATAAATATTAAATAATAGTATAATACTTCTGTAAAAATATTTTTGAGTTCAATTAGACTTAGGTTTACATACCCAAATCTTTATGGATTATAATAGTTTGCCTTTGTATAATAAGTTTATGTGATCTTTCAATCTTCTCACCAAACAATTTTAAACATCGAAAATCTCTTACACAAATTTTATGGAAGATAATAAGACTATAAGAATAGACTTTCTATTACTTGATGAAAATATTAGCGTATTTTATTTTATATCAATAAGAGTCTTAATGTATTTCTAATTACATGATTAATGTCTAACTATAATTTGATTTTATTTTAACGTAAGAAAATTCTATTCAAAGCTTTATGCATCATTTGCTTCTCGCAAAATTTGATATTCAGTTATGTGAAGGAAATCTTATTAAAAATTGCAATTTCAGTTTATAACTAAAATATCAGACTCGATTCGTCAAAATTTTAGAAAAATATATATATTATTAAATACATTTAAAAAAACTAATTATTTAAAAATATGTGATAAATTTAATTGACAATAAAATAATGAAATAAAAATGAGTCAGAACAACATATTATAGATGAGACTTCCTTATCAGTGGTTTTGCACTTTTCGTGTTTTGTTTTTTTCATAGGTTATAATATATTTATAAAATTGAAAAATTCAAATAGGAACATGAGAAATTAATTTAACAATTTTTT